TGTGAAAAAATTAATAAACTAACATGTATTGTTTAAATATTATTTAATCCATGCTCATTCTGCAGACTTTCAAAGTTGGTGTGTGTATGTGAACTCTGGTAAACTCTTGTAAATGTGAACTTTTGTCCTGCTCCTGCAAACGTCCTTGTATTCCACCACCCGCAGAAGAGGCAAAGATACAGAACTTTACGCTTTTCGTATCAAAATGTTTTTCTTTTTCAGAATGTTCTAGCTCATGAAAAAAGACTGTTACAAATCTAATTAAAAAATACCAGATCCACAATGTTTTTCAGAATGTTCTAGTCACATGGATAGAAGACTTGTTACAGAACACGGCTTCAACAAGAAGAATAACATCATCTCGTACTGATAACAAGAACTTGTGTATAGTGTCAACCTGAGGAACTTATCCTCCCCATTATGATAGAATTTTATTGTGACGCACGAAACATGTATAAATAATATGTACTGTCTCTTTAAGAACCCAGTGCGCTGTGTTGTGTTCTGACCACGCAGGCAGCAACTCCTTTCTGCAGAAAGAATAAACCTCGCGCTCCGTTTTGAGCTAAAAGAGAAATGTCTCTGGTTTTCTTTTAAGAGTTTTTTAAGTTTAGAACAATTATTTATTTTCCACAAGTGACTGCTGGACATGGGCACCAGTGACCCAAAAAGGAAGAAGTGGGTAAAGATAATGGATGAACGTTGATGAGGTTTTAATGTTTTGGATCTACAACAATCTAAAACTCTTTCTCTACTAAAATTAGTAAACTTTTGTCCTTTCTCCAAAATATTGTTCACGCTGAGAGTTCAATTCACATTTTTGTGACCCACCAGTCCGTTCATCTGAATAGTTTTGGTTCACATATGAAAACGTTTGGACACCCCTGGTGTAGACCAACAAGATTCTGTTCAGAGACTGTTGAACAAAACCAGCACACCCATGTTGGATAATAGATATCCGACATGTGTTCTGACGTCATTCTGTTTGAAGATGTTTAAGAACTGTGTGAGTTAGTGTTGTAGTACTCGAGACCGGTCTTGGTCTTGACTTGGTCTCGGGTTAGGTGGTCTTGACTACAACACTGGTATGAGTTCACCTTTTTGATACTTTAGTTTTAAATGTGTGACCAGACATATCACATCTGACAGTCTGCTGATAATTACTGACCAGTAGAGCGCGCTGTTAATAATAAATCACTGTTTATTGGCTTATATTGGTAGTTTGTGTGTGTGTGTGTGTGTGTGTGTGTGTGTGTGTGTGTGTGTGTGTGTGTGTGTGTGTGTGTGTGTGTGTGTGTGTGTGTGTGTGTGAGAGAGAGATGGTTCTCACTCTGGTAGCAGGCGGTATTTATCTGGACTAATTTCAGGGAGGAATGTGTCGCAGACGAACTGCTTCAGGATTCGAGTCACAAACAGTCTCTTTGTTCCCGGGCTCTCCATCAGTTCCTGGAAACACAAGAACCAATGAAACGGTCTCACATTGGACATACAGACACAGATGCAATGGTTAGTCAGAAGGGGTGCTTCCCGCAGTGGGAACTGAAATGGGTGCACCTTGTAGAGAGAGCTGCCTCCGATGACCCAGACCTGCTCAGCCTGTTCCGACAGAACCGAGTCGACCAAACGGAGAGCTGAGCTGAAGTCTGCAGCCAGGTAGTGTGCTCCTTCAGGGGGCGCTCTGCACAAAGTCAACACATCAGTCAACGTCCCAGAGTCTGGAGGAAGAATCCACGCTGCTACTCCATAAAATGTAACATGGTCTTAACTGTTTTCTAAAAGTGTTGCCTTGAGTGCATGTCAATTGATTTGTTGACAAACTTGACAAAATAGCTGCAATCTATCTAACAAAGTCAAGTCAGGTCCTATGGACGGATTCTTCTTGTTGAAACGTTTCGTCTTCTAACAAAACACTTCAGTCTGAGGAGCTGCAACAAACTCAGTCTTTTAAGCAGTTCTGCCAGATCTTGCAATAGAAACAAGCAACCAGCTCTATGAAAATAAGCCCAAAACAAGCCCAACTGGCAACCACCACATTGTGCAAAACAGGCCGTTTTTAAACAGTATACATGTATTATGGCATTACACACAAACAACAGCAAAATTATGCTGAACACTTTGAATAACATACTTTTAAGCTCTATAATATAAAAAAATACATTTTGTATATGTAATTTTTTTCTACATATTTTTAAAAACAAAACATCTTGACATCTGTGTGTGAGTGAAGCCCCCTAGTGGTTGGCCACAGTATGAGTGTTTGGGGTGCGCATCCACAGACTATATGAATATACCTGTATGTAAAGGTCCTTCTCAAAAAATTAGCATATTGTGATAAAGGTCATTATTTTCCATAATGTAATGATAAAAATGAAACTTTCATATATTTCAGATTCATTGCACACCAGCTGAAATATTTCAGGTCTTTAATTGTTTTAATACTGATGATTATGGCATACAGCTCATGAAAACCCAAAATGCCTGTCCCAAAAAATTAGCATATCATGAAAAGGTTCTCTAAACAAGCTATTAACCTAACCATCTGAATCAACGACGTAACTCTAAACACCTGCAAAAGATTCCTGAGGCTTTTAAAAACTCCCAGCCTTGTTCATTACTCAAAACCGCAATCATGGGTAAGACTGCCGACCTGACTGCTGTCCAGAAGGCCATCATTGACACCCTCAAGCAAGAGGGTAAGACACAGAAAGAAATTGCTGAACGAATAGGCTGTTCCCAGAGTGCTGTATCAAGGCACCTCAGTGGGAAGTCTGTGGGAAGGGAAAAGTGCGGCAGAAAACGCTGCACAACGAGAAGAGGTGACCAGAACCTGAGGAGGATTGTGGAGAAGGGCCGATTCCAGACCTTGGGGGACCTGCGGAAGCAGTGGACTGAGTCTGGAGTAGAAACATCCAGAGCCACCGTGCACAGGCGTGTGCAGGAAATGGGCTACAGGTGCCGCATTCCCCAGGTCAAGCCACTCTTGAACAAGAGACTGCGTCAGAAGCATCTCGCCTGGGACTACTGCTGAGTGGTCCAAAGTTATGTTCTCTGATTACAGTAAATTTTGCATTTCCTTTGGAAATCAAGGTCCCAGAGTCTGGAGGAAGAGAGGAGACACAGAATTCACATTGCTTGAGCTCCAGTGTCAAGTTTCCACAGTCACTGGGGTGCCATGTCATCTGCTGGTGTTGGTCCACTGTGTTCTATCAAGGGCAGGGTCAATGCAGCTAGCTATCAGGAGATTTTGGAGCACTTCATGCTTCCATCTGCTGAAAAGCTTTATGGAGATGAAGATTTCATTTTTCAGCACGACCTGGCACCTGCTCACAGTGCCAAAACCACTGGTAAATGGTTTACTGACCATGGTATTACTGTGCTCAATTGGCCTGCCAACTCTCCTGACCTGAACCCCATAGAGAACCTGTGGGATATTGTGAAGAGAAAGTTGAGAGACACAAGACCCAACACTCTGGATGAGCTTAAGGCCACTATCGAAGCATCCTGGGCCTCCATAACACCTCAGCAGTGCCACAGGCTGATTGCCTCCATGCCACGCTGCATTGAAGCAGTCATTCATGCAAAAGGATTCCCGACCAAGTATTGAGTGCATAACTGAACATGATTATTTGAAGGTTGGCATTTTTTGTATTAAAAACACTTGTCTTTCATTGGTGGGATGAAATATGCTAATTTTTTGGGACAGGCATTTTGTGTTTTCATGAGCTGTATGCCATAATCATCAGTATTAAAACAATTAAAGACCTGAAATATTTCAGTTGGTGTGCAATGAATCTGAAATATATAAAAGTTTCATTTTTATCATTACATTATGGAAAACAATGACCTTTATCACAATATACTAATTTTTTGAGAAGGACCTGTATAACCGAGTCTAATTAATTTTTTTCTAGATAAGAATGATGGCGGAGGCCATGGGAGCGTCAGGCTCAGGTTTCACTCAATAAGGATTTACATTTACGTTCACTGTTGCCGTCAGGGAGAGACTGCTAATGAGTAAAGTCGAGGACAGCCTGACTCTCAGGTTTCATCCATAAGCATCATCAACTCTACAGCCACCACACACTCCAGCACTTCCAACCACTCGCTGCAGCTATTACTGTTTTATTTGAAAAATTAACTGCCTTTGTGTTACTAACCTGTATTGCTGTTGGGAGATGTGCAAAGTAAGACTTTCATGGCATGTTGTTTTACTCGTGTGCATATGATGATAATAAATCAGTGTGAATTTGAGCAGTAGTGTAACTTGTGTGTTTAACAGGAAACAGGACGTTTGTGGAACTGAATGTGAGAAAACCTACTTTAAGTTCCTGCTGAGGACGATGTTGATCCGGTCCTTCAGAGGTCGGTTCTTCTCTGGGATTGAAAACCACGTCTTCCTGCCCATGATCACCACATTCTGCTTCCCTGCAGATCAGATCAGTAATGATGTGCACATTGCTTCCTGTTGCTGTGGTGACAGCTGGACTGATGTCATGTGCTGCCAGCCGCATGTTTAGCAGATATGCCAGAAAAACAGACGAACCCCCGAAAACTCCATCCATCCATCTTTCAATTTTTTTTTTAGAATTGCTAAAAGCAGCTAAGCTGAGAAGCTAAGCTCCAAGCTAAGCTAACTGGGGGGGAACAAACATTTCTTCTTAAATTTGACAATAATTGCTAATTATTGTCAAATTTCAAACAATATTTTTTTTTATTTAGCCTTTATTTATCCAGGTTAGTCTCATTGAGCCACGAGAACTCATTTTCAAGAGAGACCTGTATATTATCGTTTATCACAATAATTTCTGAAACAATTAATCACCCAGCAAAATTTGTTATCATTATCATGACAGGCCTAACCAGCGACCTCACTGCAAGGCTGCAGCTGCACCACCTACTCCAGTCAGTCAAGCTACATAAAATACATTTTTAGTAAACAATATGCTAAACACACTGGTGTCTGTTTTTGTTCCAGTTTCCACCAGAGTAAACTAACAGCTGTTCCTGGTCTGGATTCCCTGGACTTCAGAAGTCTCATGGGACGAGTTGGAAGAGGTTTACGTCAGAGGTGATGTACTCTGAGGAAGGTTCCGACATCTCGTCATGCAAACAGTTCTGACAAAGACGCTGCTTTTACCTTCATGTTTTCCTTCGGTGCTAATATTTAGTCCAGCCCTGACTTTGGTTTAATATAATAGTCCAAAGCTTCAACTTTCATGACATGAGTGACAGACTGACCTTTGACTCGGAAGTGTCTAAGTTTTACCTTGAACAGGTGAAGTCCCCGTCATCCTTCGGAAATGGGCGAATTCATTACTATAAAAAAAATAATTTTCGATTAACTCAGTCTGGTACCGACACCTGCCGAACCAGGTCCAGATCTGAACTTCCAACACGAACACCAAAGTCCATGTTCAATAATCCAACACGAACACTCCAAAACCGGTTCTGCATCATAAAGTACCAGAGACTTACTTGAGCCGAACCGGAAACCAGGGCAGGTTCCCGTTCGTCCCGATACCCAGATCTGGACACACCGCCACGATACCGTTCAGAACCCGGGACATTTTTATTTTTTTATTGTTCACTGAACACAATTTCCTGCCAGCCCGCGAAACGGAAATACCGGAAATGACGACATCAGTGATTTTTCTGCAGAGAACTCCACTACGGACTACAAACATGTCTGCTGCAGGTGGTCTCAGAGGAATTACCCTAGTTGTCTTTAATTACAGAACTGTAGTTTAATAAAGATATCAAACCGCTTTATTTAGTGACAACTGAATCATAACCGGGGAAAATTCAGCTATTTTAAATTAAAATATATCTCATTTAAAATTTAATTATGAGATGCTGAATCTAAATACATTTTATAATTACAAGTTAATTATGAGATAGCACCTCATATTTATGAGAAGTCATATTATGAGGTGCCATCTCATAATGACTTAAAAGATGTTTTTGAAAATGACTTATTTTTTAATGTAATATGTATTTGAATCTCAGACAAAACATGAAGAATGTGTAAGAAATCATTGTTACCCTCTTCATATTTTGTTTTAATGTAATTAAATCCCACAGCAGCTCCCTGAGATCAGACTCACCTTTAATTTACTGTCAAATAAAATCAATTTTTACAACTTCATGTCATAAAATTAAACTTTGGAGCATTTTAACAAGTACAAAAAAAGTTTTTGAATGTGCCTCATTTTAATCAAAACACTAATCGTAATAAATCTGTTCACTCTTGGACAGAAACCGCTGGTCAAACGTCCTTGTATTCTCCACGTCCGAACCTTCTGCAGCCGGTGTGCAGAAGCTGACAGGATGACTGGAGGAGACCCCGCTTCAGGACTGGGTCTGCTTCACACGAAGGTCCGACTGTGAATGCAGCAGGGGCAGCAGTGCAGAGTGTCATGGATGAAGAGGTCACAATCCACACAGAACACACTGAGGCATGAGGGACAGCTGAAGACCTGAACACACAGAAGGACCACTGAGGACTTCAGAAGATACACAAACCATATGTGATTTGCTCTAATCAGTCAAAAACACCAGTAAACACATATAAGTCCTCCTAAAACAAATGTTTCTATCAGATGATCAGGTTGATGCTGTGTTTGCTGTGAGAAGTCTAGACCATTGACACCAGTTTAGATCCTGCACTAAGCCTGGTTACTCCATGAGAAGTGCTGAGGTTGTGTCTTGCTAACGTGGTTGGAAGAGTCAGAGATTCTTTATTGTCGTTGTGTACACAGGGTCCCAGTTACATCCAACAACAAAATGCAAAAGATAAAAACAATAAAATCTAAGATATGAACTAAGAAAACCATCAACTAAATATACATTAAGCACTAATAGCATAAAAACAATACGCCGAACAGCAGAACGAACATGAGTCTGAGTGATCAGATGAGCACGCATGAACACAGCAACATGAAACAGATCAGCAGCAACATGATGTGATTCTTCACAGTGATTATTCTAGTTAGAGATTCATGAGTCTAACAGCCTCAGGGTAGAAGCTGTTCCTCAGTCTAGTGGTTCTACACTTAATGCTCCTCAACCTCCTTCCTGAGGGGAGTGGGGCAAAAAGTGTGTGTGCTGGGTGAGTGGGGTCCTTCAAGATGCAGGTGGCCCTCTTCCTGCATCTGGAGATGTACATGTCTGTGATGGTGGGGAGACTGACTCCAACAGACTTCTGTGCAGCCTTCACCACTCTGCAAAGCTTTTCTTTCTGCAGCTGTGCAGCCTCCATGCCACACGTTGATGCTGGAGCACAGGATGCTCTCCACTGCACACCTGTAGAAGGAGGTGAGGACTGTGCTTTCCAGACCAGCTCGTCTCAGCCGCCTGAGGAAGTAGAATCTCTGATGAGCTTTCTTCATCAGGCTGGTGGTGTTGTTGCCCCAGCTCTGGTTGTCAATCATGTGTACACCCAAGTACTTGTAGCTGGAGACCACTTCCACGGCAGATCCTCATATATTTGGGGGTGGGTAGGTGTGTTTGTTCCTTCTGAAGTCCATGATCATCTCCTTAGTCTTCTTCACATTGATGTGAAGGTTGTTCTTCCTGCACCAGCTCTCCAGGTGTTTCACCTCTTGCCTGTAGCTGGACTCATTGTTGTTTGTGATGCATCCCACCACCACTGTAACATCTGCAAACTTAACAATGCGACAGCCTGGATCTTTCAGTCACTACTTGAATTATTCAACTTTTAAAAATTTGAAATGCATAGATGTTTTTTTTTTTCTTCAAATCTTTGAAAAGCACTGTGTACTATGAAATATCCAGCATACTTCTTTCATTTTTAGCTTTTAGCTACTATTTTGCTAGTATTTGCTTGTAGCTAATATTCTGATGGCTTTACTGTTTAGCTACCGTTTTGCTCATTTTAACTTTTAGCTTTTCTGCTAATTTCAGCTTGTAGCTACTGTGGTGTGGTGTGATGGTTTTAGCTTTCATTTATTGTTTAGCTCATTTAACTTTTAGCTACTGCTCTGCTGGTTTTAACTTTTGTTTTGCTCATTTTAGCCATTGTCAAATTGTTTTATTGCCCACAACAGCTCCATTGGTGTCAAGGGGTCCTACCTTCGAGCATAACTCAGCTGTTACTGCCGATGGAAAAAAGGAATATAGAAATGCTGACTGGTTTGATGTCCACTGGGAAGAAATGAACCCAGTGACTGAGGCCAAATGAAAAGCTCTCCCTAGTTAGTAAGATTCCCTCAGAACTGCCCCAAAAAAACCAGCAGACTGCCTGCTACTGCACAACACCTACTGGTTCAACGTATGCAGCAGTATACAGGCAGCTGCTGACACCAGTAATGCACAAAGTACTGTAATTGCTGGTGTATAAGCTGCACGAGAGCACGAGGATTGTTTAGGCAGGCACCACAGTAAAGTTAGTTTTATGTTGGAAGTTCGAGCTCCGTGGCTTCAGCAGTGTGTTCCTCTCGTTCAGTCTGATTTGGGTCAGCCGCGTTCAGTCTGCCCGTCTTGGAGGAGGGACAGACTGAGCGCGGCTGACTGAAATCAGACTGTCTGCTTTGCAGCTTGATTGAATATTTGCAGCCAAGATATAGCTTACCTTTACCCTCCAGGAGATATTTATCAGTACAACAGTAGACAATCATAAAAAACATGAATTGAAAAATAAAAGAAAATTATATTTTAAAAAAAGAAACAAAAACAGCTACCGGTACATTATTATTCTAACTTTGAAACTTAGCCAACATTAATAAAACTTACCTCAAGTTGCTTTTTTGACATACATGCCTATATTTGTACAACTTGCACTTGCCTGTGGAGAGGAGATTATTACAGCCTCATATAAAATCAATAATGATGATGATATTGGGATCGGATCAGAAGTGAAAAATTGTGGATCAGTGCATCCCCAGCTAATTTTTTTACTTTTTTAAATTAAAATTTATTTTGACAGGCTGCCAAGCTTCTTGCTGCTGAATAACATTTTCCTTTGATGCACCTGAGTGCTCATATAGCTACCTAACACCCACCCCTCTTGGGGCTGGGATTTTGTGACACAGACAGAGTGAAAGCCATAGGTACTCTTGACAGATACCACTCACCATAGATATCATATAAACACTAGATCCCTCATTGGCTGCTGCGGTGCAGGATTTTCAGCCGCCATCTTGGAACGGTCCTTATTTGGTTAAAGCAGAAGATGTCTCAGCACTTCGCAGCTTATTTCAGTTCTAATAGACTGACTGTTGACGTCAGGTCTCGGGGGATAACTTTTCACAAGTAAGATGAACATATTATTGTTAGTATTTTGTGAATATAATATTACTGTACTGTATTTATGTCCACCAGCTGATGTGATGTTCAGTGTAACACGGTGTTCAGCTGCAATGAAGCTGACTGAGATCTGATGACAGAAATATTTTTCTAACAAGCATACTCACTATTTCAGTAGCTTTGGTTCATTATCAAGAGATATGTATCATAATTGGAGTTTTGTTTAAGTTGTAGGAAATTAAAAAATAAAACTAGGGAGAACATAGGAAATAGAAAATAAGATTGACCTCCTTTGTACAATGTTTTTGTGTAGACACAAATCTCCTGTTTTCATTTTGAAGGTTTCCCAAAGAACAAGATGTGAGGAAGAGGAGGAAGTATCTTTGAGGAGGATTCATCTGAGCAGTGAGGATTTTAAACTGGAGGATTTTGATCAAACTGATCAGACTGTCCGACTGAGAGATGGTGTGGTACCATTGGTTCACCTTCAAAGAGTAGGAGCATCATTATAAGTTCATTAATGTTCATAAATGTACATATTTTATTGTCAGTCACAAGGTGAGACACCTCCATGTGTTTATATGAACAGGTATCTAGAGACTGTAAAGTTCATATTCATGATGCTTTTTCATTTCAGCTTGAAAACTGCAGGACTACAGGAACTCAACAAAAGCTGGAGCTGCTCTGTCTGTGGCCTCTCAGGAATGTGCACGTCACACACACAACCTCAGGAACGTGCATGTCACACACACAACCTCAGGAACGTGCACGTCACACACACAACCTCAGGAACGTGCATGTCACACACACAACCTCAGGAATGTGCACGTCACACACACAACCTCAACCTGATGATGTGAGTATTTCTATTTTAAACTTTTATTTTTTTCATTTAGCCTTTATTTATCCAGGTAGTCTCATTGAGTCACGAGAACTCATTTTCAAGAGAGACCTGTTTAGGAGCAGATGGTGGGGGTTGAGTGCCTTGCTCAGGGAACCAGGGTGGGGCCAATGAGGGTGGAGGCAGTTGTGGGTGTTTCACCTTTTCCACCTCATTTTGATGTTGACGGTACCGGGAGTTGAACCTGCGACTTTCCCATCACAGGCCAATCTTCTAACCTCTGCTCCACCACTCCCCCACATGACATCATATCATGATGGTCATGGTCATATTAAAATCTCACTGGTTTCCTTCCAGATGTGTTAAACAGCTACTGGTCCCCCTGATGTTTGCAAGTGTCTGTGGTCAGTGGATGAAAAGCCTGGCATGAACAAGATGATGCTGGAGATCATCATTTGACGAGAGCTCCCACCTTCTAACTGTGAAGAACAACAGCAGCTCAGTGATTCCCTCAAGGCTCAGTGAAGGTGCTGAGAGCTGCAGAGAGGCTGATTCATGGAGCTTCAACACAGCAACCTCCAAACATGTCCACCCTCACACACATCGTCCATGAAGACACTGGACCACAGCACAAGATAATAAGACAGTGATAACAACAACAACAATACACATTCACAAATGATTCATACAAATTTTTTTAATTGTTTGTTTGTTTTACAATTGAAAAACAGTTTGTTCTCCACTGTTGTCATCACTCTTTGTTAAAATCCAGGTCTCTCTTGTAAATGAGTCCTTGTGGCTCAGTGGGACTAACCTGTATCAATAAACGTTGAATGAATATAAATATATACATAATGATTTATTCAACCTTTTATTTATACAGGTTGGCTTCATTGAGCCACAAGGACTCGTTTACAAGAGACCTGCTCCAGACAGAACAGTAAACAATGGCAACGATAAACTACAGTAAAAATGATAGAGATGATGTGTAAAAAAAAAAATATATATATATATATATACATATATA